TACTTTGTGACTATACTGTTCTACAGAAAACCCAAGACTACTACAGAATATAATGCAAAACATAATGCCGAGGAGGGAGGGAGGGCTGAAGACAGGTTAAAATGACCATGTGTCTACAAATAACAGAGAAGCAGCAAATCAGCAAATTCCGATGTGTTAGGGAATTCCACATTATGGATACTGTTAGCCTGAAAAGGACAAATAACACATTGAGTAAAGGTACAGGTAAAGTTAGGTGTAGGTTAAGGTAGTTATTGTTATGGTAAACTAGAAGTGCATAGTCAGTGAGTGAGTGAGTGAGTGAGTGAGTGAGTGAGTGAGTGAGTGAGTGAGTGAGTATATGGGAGAGAGAGAAACAGGTCCACTGTGAGCAGAGAGACAGTGGAGAAGATTAACCTCTGCTCCTGCAGGCCTCCCAGGGTGAGAAGGCAGCACAGAGTCACACAGTGGCACTACACACTCAGGTCTATAAACAAACACAATCAGTGGGAAAAGTCATTATAGATCACATGTAGACTCAGTAGAAAAAAAATTAATTGTACTACACATGTTTATGACACAGGAGTTGTACTGGAAACCATGATCAGCATGACAACACACACACGCACGCACACACACCAACCACTCTCTTTAATAAATTCATTCTGGCTTTAAGGAGGATCCCCCCTGCAATTATCCAGTCCTCCCTCTTGCAGCTCAACATGTCTATTGGCTGGAAACTAGCCGGCCTTTCTCTGCTCTTTCAGACCGTTGTTCTGGGAAAAGCCTAAAGGGAAACATTTAGATTGGAGGGCTTTTTGAGTCGCGCTGACAGTTGACTGATGACCCTCCATAAAATGACAAAGCATCGCTGTGTGGTGGCCAGTGCGGCCCACTGCCTCCCCATGGGAAACTAATTGCTTTGAATTGTTAACGGCAACATTATTTTTCTGCCAATCATTGCTTTTGAATGGCCCGAAAATGAGCATGAAACAAGTCTTTTCAGCGAACAAAACAGTTAAATGTCCCCAATGTTGATCAAATTAACTTCAGCACTCTGACAATGGACTATATTTGTGTGGAAATAATAGGGCACCACAAAGCAAGCCTTTATGCCTGGATTTCACAGTTGTAATGTAAAACTGTTCTCCCCTGAACCGGACCAGCCACTCTGAATGGGGCTTGGAAACAGAAACAAACTCCAATACACAAAGGAGGGGTTTTTTTTAACTGCAATGGAAAAAAAACCTGTTGGTTTTATCTCATGCTATCATTTCACATTGGTCATTTAGCAGAAAAGATTTCCACCCTCTAGAGAAGTTCCTGTCATTACATCAGCCTGTCTTTGGAAGGAAAATGCTAATAAGCTGATATCTGTACAATCTAGCAGCTAATGGGAGTTCATTTAACATTATGAAAATGCCCAGTTAAACTACTCTTTAAAAAACTGCTTGTGCGCACACAAACAACTCAACCATAACATAAATGGGAAACAATGAACTTTCCACATCAAGCGTACCCGAGTGTCACTTCATGCAGCTTGGAACACACATGGGCACTTTCAAAGGGCAGGAAAGGGAGCGAGGGTACGTTTCAAGCAGAGCCTTTGCTGTTCTCCCATGGAAGCGGCCCTCACATCAGCCCAGGCTATGGAACTGTGCTTTTTTTCCCCTTTTTTTCTTTCTGATGTGACTCAATAGTGAGGTCTGGCTGGCTAAACGTTGTTCCTTCTCAGCATTGTTCCCCCGAGGCCTTGAAGCACTTTGGAGATAAACACTATTTAGCAGTTAAAAGGGCCACAGAGGAAAAGGCTTATCAGATGTGTTCTCAATGGGCTGTAAGCTGCATTATTAGGCATGAGCTCCAGATAAGGTGCAGGCTGAAGTTTGATGCTCGGCAGCAGAGCTCTGTCCCCGCAGCGCTGCCGTGCGTGCAGGCTCCAGTGTAGACTGCTGTGAGGATCTCAGCTGGTGGTGTGTTCAGCAGCTCCAACCCTCCCCAATCTTATCCCATCCCGCAATGAGAGATTAGAGCCCAGAGAGGAGAGAGAAGAGAGAGGGAGGGGGAACTCTGGCTTTAGATATTCCCCGTTCCTTTTCCTGCTCCGCTTCTGGGGGTAGGAGTCAGAGTTAGGACAATAGCCAAAAAGATGGTTCCCAACCAGCCACTGAATGGGAACACTGTTGGTGGTAGCGCTTCATTCAAAGCCCGGCCCGGGCACATTGTCCTCCCAGATCGACGGAGGAGAATGGAGTTTGCTGGTGGCTGCCAAAAGGTTAGCAGCCTCTGTGAAAGGACCGACCTATTATTCACTGCCCTTTACAGAGCCCAGGCACCCTTTGTGCTCCTCCTCCCTTCCCTCTGCACTGCTAGCTTTTTCTCACTCCGGTGCTCCGGATCTGCGCCCGAAGGCTTCACCCTAAAGTGAGTGAGTGAGGCGCGATGGCCCCCCCACATCAATATCCCACCCCTGTATCGCTAGCAAGGAATACCAGGGGAGCTGGAACATATAGCGACCTCCTCATCACCACCACCACCACCTTGCCTCACACCACTCACCCCTCATCCCCACCCCTGCCGAAAGAAGAACCTTTAAATGATATGGCCCAGAAGTAACAACAAGGTTACCATCCTCCAACACAAGGGGAATTAGAAGGAGGGAGCGTGGAAACTGCCACTCACGCCAGCACAGTTTCTATTCAATCCCTTCAGCCACCCAGCTAAGACTCTCGCTGCTGTTTAGGTGTGTTTACAGGAGGCCCTTTCAAAATAAATCAACTGGGGGGAAATAGCACAATGAAAGTAGAGGAAACACTATCAAACACAACAGAGCAGAAACAGAGGTGCTTTGGAAACGTGATTATGTCGGTAAATCCAGGTGCGTTAAGATGTAATAAAAAACTGCAAAAGCTGCTGAAACACTGCCACTTCCCTGTCCATTAAAGGCAGCACATTCTTTCATCAAATCAAAAATGAAGTAAAGGTAAAATATGACCTTGCAGAGAAGAATTTATTAAGTGCCTCGTAATTCAGGCCCATCAGAAAGCCTGTTTGTAATGTATGCCACCGATATATTTATGCATGTAGTTATCCAAAGTGGAGGAGGTGGGGAGGCGTGTCGTGCATTCTTATGCAAGCTGAATGAGAGGTCACCTGCTGCCTGGTGGGTATTAGCCTTTTATTCTGTGTTAGCATGGCCAGGTACGGAGCAGGGCTACCACTGTGCACTCCATCATCCCACAGTGCTGCAAATGCATGTCCCATAAATTACATTAGCGTAGCCTATGAATGGAAATCATGGTCTGTTTGTACAGACGCGGACTTCACTTAGATCAGAGGGTAGAAACCCGTACCATGACCATGAAAACTCCAGCTAGAATAATTAAAACCGTTAAACTAACGTAGCCTCGCTCGTGTTAGAGCCACCACTGTATAAATGACATGGCAATGTGCCTGCTATATAATACGATGTCCAGTATAGAAATAGAAATGAACATCCAGCAAAAGGCCAGGCGGTCACAGACAACTGCAGTAGGAAAAATGACATTAAATTTAACTGAAACCCAGTTAAATGGAAAGTTTGCAGATGTGCCTCTGTCTTATTGCCCAGCAGGTCCTGAGCAATAAGACAGCAGCTAAAAGTACTACATCCTGTTTGGCCAACATAGTCTGTAGTTAAAAGATGGACAGAGTAACCCACTGCTTTGCTAACTTTCATTTTGACACGGTGAGTTAGCATTATCCTGCGATATGGACGGCTGCCATCTTACTTTTTGCAGTGACTACATTTTGACAACAGGGCAGATTGCTAAATTATAACCTAATGCTAACAGCATAGGTTAGCAAAGGGGTAGTTTATATTAGAGCATCACACAGACATAAATACATGCTAATCAGTTCCAAATGAGTAAAATAATCATATAAATTCAGTCACCAAAAAGGACAGTTAAACAAAAAATGTTCCAAAAGTCACCAAGACTGCAAACACAGCTAAAATATTCAGTTCAATGACTCAGATTAGCAGAGGTGATACCACCTGTCACTCAAAGCAGCCGTGCCCCTAATAATACATAACTTTAAGCCTTAATACAGCGTACAGTGTGTACATTGTATTAGTTCTAATCAAGTGAAAAATTAGGCATGTTTATCCACTTTAAAGTTAACACAGCAGTCTATGGAGAATGACTCCTTCTAGATTAGTCTCGTGTGGTCTTTTGAGGAAATGCAGGAAAGGGTATTTTCTCTTGATGTGTGTGTCGGGGGGATATTCAGTTCTGTTCAGTTAGCCAGGACTTTTGTTGTAATGCCAGTGATGATATTACATGTCACAGTATATTTTATATATTTATTTCTCAGGACCAAAGCAGTGTTCACAAATGGTGTACTGACAAATGCTTGCTTCATTTTCTCTGCTGGTAGAAAAACGACAGAGGTAAGTGTAAGATTACACTACCAAAAACGAAAGTAAAATAACAGAAAATGCTGGAAAGTAAGAAAGATTTAGAGTGAGGGACAAAAAAAGAACAGATAAAGGAGACTTGGGAGTTCACAGACCGTATAGTGAGAAGCCCTATTTCCACAGACAGATGTAATCCCACTGGTCTAAGACTGAATCCCACCAAAAACCTTCTCCACACCTCTCTTGCTCAGTCTAAGCCTTGATTACAATATCAATACAGGTTTTTGCCATGCAACAGAGAAATGGGATTTGTGACTATCAGCTGCTACCTCAATGCAGATATGCAATTTCTGTTGTTCAGGAAAAAAATACTTTATTAGTTAAAAAAAACATTTCTTAAATCTTTGTAGTCCATCTCAGTTTTACAGATAAAGAGTGTAAACATCGTGTATAATGAAGGAACTTGTTTTGCAGATTATCTAAAAAATGTGTGGATATCATACGTCTTCCTGCTTTACAGAAACAGAAATGTTGGGTTATAAATAGAGTAAATCTACCTTGATATCTGCAGAATTTGATCTAAGACTAAAGTAAAAAAGCTGGTGACCAACATCTACTGTACCTGTCTAAAACGTAGGCCAGTGCCTTCTGCCTGGTCCCAGAGTACTCTGATGGGCTTTTCTCCCAGGCCACAAGGTTGGAAGCATCATGGAAAAGGTGGATGTTGACCAGATCAAAGGCACTGATGGAGAAAGGTCACATTGTGAGCGATCACTGATGTTTCTAGCACACATATGCATAAGAATACAGCCACAAACTCTAATCTGCCATCTTTCATTTTGTTCTCTCAGAGAAAAACAAGACAGCGATGAACACCTCCCTGCAGATCCTATCTGGGTGGTTTTTTTGTTAGCATGGGGCTTGGCAGGGCAACTCAGAGGAATTGATCTTATCCCACGGGCTTTATTCTGCAGTGACATCCTGAACAAATGAATACATCTGTAGCTTTGACTGTGTCCGATCTGATCTCCCATTCTTCACCAGCCTCTCTCTCTTTGCCGCTCTTGTCAAACGTCACGCTCCTATTAAATGCTTACCGTTTCAGCTCTTTAGTTCTCATGTCATCCCTCTATTAGATTACAATCCCCATCTTCCACCCCTCAGCCACCTACTCCTCCCCCCATTCCCTAGCTCTGCACGCTGGAAGCAGCGATGGTATTCATCCCGTACAGGTTCAATTGCATGTAATGTTTTTTGTCATCTGTCATACGCAACTGCTCGAGTAACGTGATTACGTCTAATCGAATCCCTGCTTACTTCTGCAGCGCGCTGTCCGGAGAGGATTCGGCTATGTGAGTCGCTCTCTCCGTCTGGGTGCGCTGTCTATGATAACCTCACAGAGCAAGACTCCCTGCAGCTCCAGGGTGAAGTCAGACGTGACTGACGTGGCTAGATATTCATCTCTAATCACAGCGATACACTTGTAATGATTCAAGGTTGAACAGTGATGAGGTGGGATGTGTCATTGTGGGGACCTATTAATAAAACTCACCAGTCAGCCATGGCCCATCGAGTTCTGATGAATCCCTTTCTGGACCACTTGCACTGCAGAACAGAGAGACTCAATTTAGCATGACAATTGACAGTGGCGAGGATTTACCACGAGACAAATGAAAGCTATAGAGTCAAATGTTTCACAGTCAAGTGGCAATGTCCATCATCTGGGAGCAGAATTTCTGGTTTGCATTTTTCAGCACTGCTCGAAACTCTGCAGTTCAATTTGGACAGACAGACACATTTCATTAAAAAATTCCTGAATTGTGAGCTTTTAAGGCAATTAAACTGCCTAAGTTACTGTATGGAAACGGGCTGTTAATGACTCTATAAATACACATTTAAACATCAGAGTTAATGGATGAACAGTGGCGGAACGTAAGTGTATTGTAGCAAACACTCCACTACATTTCACTAGGAACATCCATCCATCCATCCATCCATCCATCCTCTTCCAATAATCTGGGGCTGGGTCACTGGGGGCAACAGCCTGAGCACCTCCCTTTCCCGAGCCACCCCCTCGAGCTCACCCGAGAACAGCAAGGCGTTCCCAGGCCAGCCGAGAGATATGATCTTTCCTTCTCCTTGTAGACATGCCCAGAACATCTCACCCGAGAGGCATCTTAGTCAGATCTCCGAATCATTTTAACTGGGACCATATACTATACTGTTACCATAGTTATACCTTTTTTTATGTGTTTAAGTTTTCCATCATCAGTTTTCAAATAAAAACAAATTGATGCTTTGTTATAAGTAAAATTCAGAAAACAGGAAAAAAGAGCTTGACAAGCCAAAACATTAAATTAAGCCAATAATAAATGGCCATTGTCTTTCACCTGTGTATACCAGTCAATCCATTTCATACCTGCTTGGCAACCTTTTCCAGATTTGAACAATCATTTTCAGAAAAACATTAGGACTAAAGGTGGAGTCAGTCTGAGATCAGTCTGTGATTGAATGGGGTCAAGTTGGCAATTACAGTGGAGGAAATTATGATTTGATTCAATCCTGAATTTTTGAGTTTGCTCACTTAGAAAGAAATGAACAGTCTCAAAAACACATTGCATAAAAGTTAGAAACTGATTTATAACTTTTATGTTATATTAATGTTATATCACAATTCTGGCTCCCAGAATTCAGCATTTGATGGTTTTTGTTTGAGTCATTTTAATGTAAGTTTGCTCGGCTAACATTATTTCAGAATGTTCAGTATTTTACAAAGTATTTTAATTTATGTAATAAAATATCGATATTTGGTGTTCCCTTATCGACACAATATTGCAACAGAAAATATTGCAACACTATTCTGTCTATATTTCCCCCCCCCCCAACCCTAATAAATATGAATAAATGGCTTCAGTCAGAATCCACTGCCTACAAAATTAAAATCAAAGCACTGCATGTTCAATGCAAACAAGATTCAACATGCTTTATTAAAACTAACCAAAAAAACAACCACATGAAGATTCATACTTATATTGTACATCAACATTCTTATGAATATGGAGGACTTGGTCAGTCAACCTGAAACATTCAACGCCATAAAAGAAAGAAAGTGGAATGCTATCAGTCTGTTTTTACACTCAGTTAATGTTGAAACGTCTACATTTAGGAAAGCTCTTTAAGAAGCTGGCAGCGCGAGGTGGGTTTTAACCTAGCTCACCTCAGCCTGAACACTCAGTGATCCTGACAGGCTTTTATTGAGTGAGCTGGTCAAGGAAGTTTTTACAAGAAGCAGAAAAATGGATTTTGACCATCCTAACCAGCTGAAGTTTTTGGTCGAACGGTGAAGAAGACATCGCGGCAGAAAGTAACACGAAGCATACGTTTCTATCTAGATTCATCATTTTAAGTGAGAACGACCAGAGAACGGTGGCGCGAGTAGCTCTATGGAAAAAGATGCTGGGAGACACCAGGTGACAGCTGCAGTGCAGACATCCACCGTGCAGCTGCATCTTTCTCAAACAGCACATGATCAAACAGCACATGATCTTTTTCAAACAGCACATGATTCACCATGAAGCTGGTTATTAAATGAGAGACAAATTGATGTTGCGAGTGTTCTCATTCTGAATAAATAAGCCTCTTTCTCATAACCTCTCTCTTTTTTCCTGCCTCTCTCTCTCTGTGTGTGATACCCCTAATGGGGAGTTAACTGCAGTGATAAATAAACTAATTACGGGCCAGGTCACATAATTACAAATTGACTAATTTTATTTAAAAAGCTCAGATGCAAATTAAAAGCCTAAGAGGTATTTGATTGCGCCTCACATCCTTCAATCTGCATTAGTATAAGATTAACTGTATCAAATTGAATTACATTAGCATACTTGAATTAATCCATAGTGCCTTGGCAGGATGTATGGACCCAATTATAACTTGCTGTCCCCCGAAATTGTGACTTTGAGAGGAGCATATGTAAACAGATATGATATGATCATGCTGTAGCAAAACCGATTGGCCTCGCACTTCAAAATATACCTATATTTTTTAACTTAATGACTATATTAAAAAGATAAACAGAAGCAAACAGAAGCAATAAGGCTTATGTAGTCACACACAAAAATGCACTCTGAATAACACATTAGTTTGTTGCACGTTAAATCCATTAACATGCTGCAAATGTTTGTCAATGTAAAGTTGAGGAAAGAAAGTATTAAGAGTATGAGAGGATGAGTAGGGACAAGATGAAGAGCGAGAGGTGGCGGTGGGGGTGGAGGGTGGACTTGCTCAGGACCCGTACGAGCACTGACTGCCGCCAGAGACGTTTAATCTCGATTTAATTTAAAGAGCCATTAACTACAATCGCAGCATTAAAATCCATCACTTTCTTGACACCCGGCCCCAGATTGCCCCATTTCCTCCACATATGACTGATTGACCCCCTGCTCCATCGCTCGCTTATAAACACACTCACGACGCGCACGAGGGCGCGAACATAGACAACTATCAGAGTGCATGCTTTAAAAGCATCACTGCAAAGTTTAAAATAATAATAATAATAAAATCATCATCTCTTTATTTCACACAATACGAGTGATTTTTTTGTAGCAGGAGTCCGAGTGAAGTGATTATCTCACAAAATCAATCAGAGCGCGGAAGAAGAAAACGGTGCTCGGCCTATGGGCTGACATGATGACATCACGCTTTGGCTGCGACAGCTGATATTGGAGCGGAGATGATGACACAGATGCTGTCCGGCCCCCATTTAATCATGTGCTGAGACATCATCATCATCATCACGCCTCCCTGTCTCCTCCACACACACACACAAACACAAAAATGCTTTTCCTAAAAGTTTAAGAGTTTTACTAAGAGTTCTTTTTTCCCCTTTTTTAAAGACATGCTTGCAGAACAGGTCGCATGTGAAAATATTAAATATCAGATATGGCTGCTGTAGCCACTGAAGGGGAGGTTGATAGTGGGAGTCGAAGGGCGACCGCAAAAGGTCGCGAGGCTCGCGGTGACATTGGCCGACCTTCCACAGGTCAACGATGGCGTCTCCGCCCGTGACAGTGATGAACGGTGGCTACGACGGTGGGGTGGGGAGAGGTGGGGTGGGGGTCACATCTGTGGATGCTCGGCAGAGTACAGACAAACTGTTTGTGCGAACGCACGAACAGAAAAAAAAATAAACAGTGGGGGTGGAAGAGAAAGTGTGGGATTCACTCAAAACTACGACCATGGAAAAATATGCTGATATAAAATGTCACATGTGACACAGTCAGCACACACACACACACACACACACACACACACACACACACACACACACACACAGTACTACCTAAAACACCCTCCTGCCACTGCTTCCCGGTCAGTCCCCTTTGATTTTTTTGACCTTTCTTATACTTCAGCCCCCCCAGTAAATAATACTATGTCGGGTTATGTTCAGAAAGAAGGCGGGGCAAAGAAGAGTGCAGGACAGAGAGCGGAGGGGGTGACACAAAAGCCTCATGACAGAAATGCACTGTGAGTAATAAGTAATACACACAAACGCTGATTGATTTGAGCCCCTGTAGACAGTCACATTTATCTTTATTCCATCATACGGCGCGGGGTGGGGGGTATCCAATGGCAGAGGGCCGGTTTACATGACAGGACAGTACATGAAGACATTGTGTACGAGTGTGTATGCTTTGATAAAGCTGCACCAGAACTACAGAGGGAGTTGCTCTCTTTCGCCACATGCAGCAGTAAAAACACTGAAATTTAAAAAATGCAGGAAGATGCATTTTGTTCTTTTAACTAATTATTGCAAAAAATACAAATCGCAGTGATTTACTGGTCATTAGTATGTCTTCAGAATTTCGCAAACTGGTGATGATTCTTCTCATGAATCATGACACGCTGCTCTTCCCTACATAAGCTGCCTTTATAGGTTAAAAGTATCAGTGTCTGGAACACTTGCACTGTATTTACTTGGTATTGGATTGATACCAAATATTTGTAGGATCGCAAAGCACTGCTATCTATGTCCCAAAAACATGTAAAAAGTGAAAAAAGCTTCAATTTGGCACTCATTTCGGCATTAGCCCCTTGCAGTCTCATGGATCACGCCTGTCACAGAGAACAGCATCTGTGTCACAGGTGTCTTGTCTGGTGATAAATGCCACAGAGCGTTTTACAGGCAATGCCAGTTTAAATGACTTCATCTCCTTAACGTACACATCACATCTATGAATCACGCGTGGCGTTTAAATCATAAGGAGAGAAGCAAGTTAACTTTCAGCGAGGGCAGAACTTGAAAGTAATCGCAGCCCCGTATCGCAGCGTGCTACAGGGGGCACTAAAAGGGTATGAAAAGTCAGCGCTTTAATGGACACGCTCACGGTGCCAAACAACAAATACAAACTCATACGGATATTGATCTACAGCCTGCCGCCTATTTTCATCCTTTCTCTTTTTTCACCCCCTTCTCTTTACTGTTGTGTAAAACAATCAATAGCAAGGGCACATTAAGGTCTGGGTCGTATACTTTATTTATATAAGGCAATGACAAATCCTTATGATGCAATGGTTTTTGGAGGCGTGTATTACCGCACCACACAAATAAATACATGAATCCCACCGGGGGGAGGGGGGCAAGGAGATTGACGGAATAACGGGGGAGGGGGGGACAAGCCGCCAAATCCATCACCGCGACCTTTTGGAAGAAATAGCATCTGCAATTTTGTCCACTTCCTTCTTATTCAGCATTTCAATTAACGTCCCCGCTTCACTCCCCCCAACGCACAAACACAGCTATAATTCAGGGCGGGATTTCCGGAAAGAAACGACGCTTTGCATATGGAGAGGCCGCCACTTAAATGGGAATCGAACAGAAAGTGTGAAAGTGAGTAACTTCAGAACTTTATGATGCCTTTCAGAGCTGAAAGCAGGGCGTGATTTAGGTTAAGTGAGTAATAAGTAAGATTATCGAGGAAAAAAAAGACAATGTTGGGCTGGATATCAACTCCGTGAGGTCTGAGCCACTTTTCTGGCTATTGGCTCTGCTTGGTCTGCTTGTGTAAAAATGCTTGTGCAATTTCAGCTCTATAAAAAGCAATCGAAATTGCATGCCTTAGGTTTTTGAGGACAAGCTAAACTATACGTGGGCTGCAGGCATATCACATCAAGGTGTTAAAATGATATGGCTGCAAAAGCAGCTTAAAACAAACACCCTCTAAAAGGGTATAATCAAAGCCTCTAGCACTGAGCATCAGAGACAGATCAACTATTATATAATTGTATCATTTATTCACACACTTACTACTTATTATTTTTTTTATAATGGCATAGATCAGATTGAAGAAGTAAGTTGATTAATTAGTGACAAAAAAATTATACAAAATGAAAAATGATATTAAATTTTATATATGTTGTTTTCTGCTTTATGTTTTTGTCATTTTAACTTTTTTCTTTAATGACTGGAAGAAAGGAAGAAAACTAGCCGCAGTGCCTCTCACACAGAACCCTGAATGTAGAGATGGATTCATGGGTGGGATGCCATGAATGGCATTTTGCTTTAAACTAACACAAACACTCCACACTCCCGCCATGATGTCACCAGCTGTGACACATTATTAATGGGGGACGGTAAAGGTAAGCCACAAGCTGAGGAAAGCGCACATCTGTCTCTGCGGCCAACCTGAGCGGCGTGCTGTCACTCGAACACCTTCCCCAGAGGATTCGAGACACCTGCCCCCTGTGTCCTTTTTGATGACTTTTAATGATGCACTCCCACATCTCTCACAAGACCTACTCCACACACACCTATCGTTATCCCCCCCCCCCAAAAAAAGGACCGAAGCAACTGGTTTTGGACTCCCTGTGTGTGGCGTCCTGTCCGGTCCAAGATCCCCATGTAATAGGATTCCTCAAAGCTGCAGATGGATGGCAAATCTAGGCGGTTTCATCTACTAAAAGAGGGCATAAATCACGAGCGGAGGAAGCGGGGACGAGGCAGGGGTTATCACCAGTCTGCCTCCCTCGTGAGAGCTTTGCATTAAAGCATTAGTGAAATTAATTCATCTTTCATAAGAGGTTTGAGCAGTATCTGTGATCTATGATAACAACCAATTTCTCACTACGGAGGGGCCGGAGGAGGGAGGCAGGCACAGAGGGGGGGACAGGGGGGAGAAAAAAAAATACTCTGCGACCCTGATAGACTACACAAATCTGCTCTTTTTAAATGGGCTAACATTATCTGGAGTGCTGCTCTCTGGAGCATCATCCCAGATTCATATCCCAGCCGGGAAAGAGGCATAAATCACCAGGCAAAACTTTTCTCATCTGTACACCCCCCCCGCCACAGACACACGCACACACCTACCTACACGGCACATACGCATGCATACACACACACTTCTTTTCTCTCTACATCACTCCCATCATCCTTCTCAGCATACACCGTGCCAGCTCTGTTGTGCCGGTTTTCTTTGCTTGTCCTGTTAAATGCAGAACAATGCTTCGCTGCAATCATTTTAAATGGCTTTGCGCCTCAATCAGTGTAATTGGTTTTAGATCATCTCTGGAACGGGACAGAGAAAAAAACTGAAGTTGTTTAGGTATGTAAGTATGTGTGTGTGTCTAGGGTGGCTAAGGGTAGGCAGATAGGTGGGTGGGTTGAAGGGGGTTGGAGGGAGTGGGGGGGGGGGTCCTGCAGTGTGTGAAAGAGACGGAAATTGGGGGGAAGTGTGTGAAGGGGGCCGTATCCATCTGTTTTGCATATATTTGCGGAGGCGGCCGTCGGAGCATGGTTGACAGATGAGTGGGGAGTGCGGGGATGACACACGGGCGGTCGTGCTCTTTATTACTATATCAGCACAGATATGCTCGGCGCCCAGCTCCCGTCTGACGGCGCACCGCACATCGAAACCAGAAAACTGAACACAGGCGGCGTGAGCAGGGAACTGCTCCACGGGACACGGGAAACACAACAAGGACTTTTTCTCTTTGAATTCTTTGTGCTGATTTGTCTTTAGATCAGTCAACTGGGTTTCCCTGAAGTAGGGGAGAAATCTGACTGGAAAAACAAAAAGCTATAAAAACTGCAAAGGAAATAAGCAAACTAAATATATGAATATTCAGGTCTGTATTGGATATGCATTAAAAATGCAACAAATTGATGTATATACAGTACATAACAATGAGTGGGATTTAATACATCAAGAAATACACATTTTGAGCACACATAACCTTCCACTGTAAATAAAACATCTGTCAGCCGGCATCTCGGGAGAAGGCTGTCAGCCAATCGTGTGTGTTTATTACAAAACCCACCTCGGGAAAGTAGTCCTGTGGAAACTTCGCCTTCTCCAGTGTGGGTGTGCTTTCTAGTGTCTCTGAGCAGGTTTCCTTCCCGACCACCTTTCTAAATTTCTTGGCTGAAGAGGAAGCGAGGTTGACAGTGATGAAGGGAGAAGAACGGGGAGAAAAACACACACTGTTACAACCACAGAAGGTTCTTTTTTTAACACTGTGTGAGTGAAGTGTGAGTCTTAATCTTCTAATTAGACTGATTCTTAAAGCTATTTCAGCTTCATCAGACAACTGCCCCACCTGCTGGTCAGAATGAGGAACGCCTGCACTCGGACAAGGAGGACAGACTGAGATGTAAAGTGAGTAAATGCCTGTCTTTGATATTATTGGATCACTGTAGTGGATTAAATGCTGTAGATTTAAAACACTGCAGTCCCTGAATTTTCATTATATTCTGTCATAGGCCGTGTGTACACTTATACTAAAAGATGTTGATGTTAAAAATAGTCAAAGTTTACAATAACAATGTCAGTTTATGTAGAAATTCAATCTTTACACTGCTCTGAATACTCTGTTTCACAGGGTTTTTTAAAACTCTTGGCTCTGTATGGGGTCATAGAAGGTTTCGTGGTCACCACAGGCACACAACAGCTGTTTAAAATCTTTAGTTTGCGACTTAAAGTCAGCTAAAGTGACTTCTTTCAGGCAGATGATGATGACCCCTCTCCTAAGCCCAGTTAAGGCCTTACTATGACGCAAGGCAACTTTAGGAGAGTGAAAGTATAAAAACGTAGCACTGGATATGGGAATAACAGGCTCCTCTTCACCCTCCTCCACTTCTACACCACCCAGGGTTAGGGGGATTTTAATCTGTTTGGAATTCCTTAATGGAAAATATTTTAATAGAAAAAATATAATGCCTAAATGTATGACACTTCACTTGAAATCTTCTGCTAAGTTTCAGAAAATTTGTCTGAAAGTTTGCATGTGGCTAAAACAGTCCCAGCCCAACTGGACAGGCCACCAGCTCGGAGATCAGAAGATTTTATTATTTGCATTTCGTGCTCAAACTAAAATTGCAAACTGACTCTTAAAAACATGGAGACTGCTAAAACAAATTATGCCCGATTAGCTGCTAATGTACTAACATCTGCAGATGCCCGGTGCTGTGATTTTAAATCAAATCTTAATGTGTGTGCACATGGGTACATGAATGCGCCTCTGCTCTCTCTTGTGACCCCTCCCCTTCCTTCGCCCTGTCCTTCACTGGGGTAACTGGTGCTAATGCTGACTTGGGTCTAATAGGAAGCGAGGCGGCTCTACATCTATATCCCCTCTTTAATTAGCGTGGTCACCGGCCCCCTGGGCCCTCTGACACCGCAGGCTGATGAGACGGCCATAGCTGTCCAATAACCTGCTGCACACCATTACTGTAGGCCCGAAATCGTATGAATTAAATCCTAATATTTATAAGCATTACCATTCTGTCCCGCTCCCTTTACATTATCCTCAAAGCCCATCACAGCCTACTGCTTTTGATGGAAGCAGGAATAGCCTGCAAACGGTCGCATGTGATATGCAGGAATGTGATAAAGGGGAATGAAGAGAGGATAGTGGTCATGATGTATGTGTGTCATGTGATGGAGAGAGGTGGGGTGAGGCTTACCTTTGAAATCAAACTGTTGGATGTTTTTCAAAGAGTCGTGGATAAAGTATAAACTTCCAAGAGCCTGCAAGAGAAGAAGACTTTTTTAAAGACATTTATTTATCAACTTTTTGTTTTGTCAGGAGCTAAAAGTCCTTCAAAAGCTTTTCACACCGTCAGTGTTTAAAGGACTGACCTGATGTGAAAATGCCTAATAAACTGCGCTGAAAGCAAAGCCAGCACAGATCTTCCACACTCCACAGCACACTGCACAAACACTACACACACCCCATCCGGCTACACAACAACAGGTGCACCGTGCTCTCGGTACAGTACGCTCGCAGCGCGGCCTCTGTGCACCCTATTCTGGAGTCTTCTAACGTGACGAGTCAACAATTTGAGCTTTCAAAGGACACATTCAGATGGACTTTTCAATGAGCAAAGATCAACTTCAATAGGCTTAAAATCTTAATTTTCCCTGTGAACAATCAGGAAACTTTCCCAGTCGGTGGACGAGCCAATCAAAGTCTGTGGGAAGAAGTGAGAGTGGTGCAGAGGGGGATTTGATGCGGTTCACAGTCCGCTACACTGCTTTTCTGTTGGCCTCTTTACATTTAGGGCAAATCGAGGCAAAGCTCGAGCTCAATCCCCTGTGTCTTTGAGATAGCAGACCTTTGATTTAGGATAATTCCGAGTCTCCTTTTCCTTCAAAACAGAGCCAGAGAGCGGAGCGGAGCTTCAGCTATGAAGACCAGAGCAACCAGATTAAAACGTAAGTGAGTAGAGGGAGAAAACTATTGCAAAAGAGTGAGAAAGATAAGAGCGAATGTACAGGAAATGATAGATGAGTAATGGTGGATGTGACGGAAGGAAGAAGGAGAAGAAATCAGAAGCGAGGGGGGGGGGGCTCAATGCATGATCTTTTCCCGTTTTTTCCGCACTCTTTCCAACACGCTGGGAGAGAGTTCGGGCCCGGCCTGGCCTCTGCATTATTTATGAGCGCCCAGCACATCTTGAGATTAAACATTTGCTGATTTGTCAAAAGCACAAACACGAGGTCCTGCCCATCTCCTTGACATATAAGTTCAGCCGACAGAAAACACTGTCGCACATTTAATTGATGAGAACCGCGCTTGGTGACCCGAACCACTGCCGTCAATCCCTCTCCTGCTCAGACGGAGGCAAAAAGGAGGAGGGGGTGGGGGGGTGCATATGAGAGGGGACAGCGTTGGGCGAAGGCAGGACTCAAGGTCGCAGCTTCCCATTGCGAGAGGACAGCTTCCAGGAAGGCCCCCCTACACTTATTTGTGCTCACTTGTCTTTATGTTCTCTTTCACCTTAAAGTGCCAACAACGGGCCTGGACACAGAGATGGATAGGAAAGCAGGGCCAGGGAGGCATAAAGGTGCCATTTGTCAAAATGGTGCCACTATGCTAACTGCTGCTGTTTGTGTGAATATTTCACAGAGTAGAGGAGTGAAAAGACCATTATGCCGTATTATTGTGATATATTTCCTTTTACAAAAGAAGAGGAATTTTCCTTTTTTATTTTTATTACAAATTAATTTGCAGCTGCATTTTTTGTTCTATTTACCACCAGGTCAAAGTGCCTCTTACTGCTAGATTAACTGAAAATTAATAGACAAAAATGTTAGCAAGTCATTCAGGGTGTAACTTTGTTACCAGGCAAAACTGAATAAAATAGACTCGTGTTCGTCATCTGTTCAAGCAGAGCATTTTCTACTATAATATTTTATTAAAAAACCCAAAACTTAATTATTTCAGGGGAACGGTGATGGGCAGCGTCTCTGATTTTGAAGCCTGAACCAAAAATAATTATTAGAAAATTAGATTTTTTTAAACTTCTGACAAGTTAAAAAAGAAAATTATAAATGTGCATATATGTGTTTCCATTTGTATCATTTTTGCTACATTTGGCATTTTTGTTTTTCAGGAAAAACACACACACATTGATGTGGTAGAGGTCCCAAAACCTCACAAAAACTCAAATACGACACACTTGGTGTTAAAGGGTTAAATAAATAATTAGTAATTAATCATTTTGTGGAGCTCATCCAAACACAAAAGTAAAAAATAAACTTTATAATAAAGATTTTATAATAATAATAATCTAAACTTTATTTTCTTTAAAAAAAAAAAAAGCTGAAGCTGATACCTCCACTTGCCCCCAGCACCTGTGACTACCAGATATAAAATTAATATGACATCAAACAAACCCGCATGAATCAATTATCAAATAAATTATAAACAACTATGCTTAAGTGGCTATCCGTGTAATCGCAAAAATCTACTTAACCCTCAACCCTAATAAATATTCATCTGACACTGGGGTTCAGATCCCAGCAGCAGCTGCTGGGCTCCCTCTCTTCTCCTCTGCCTGCCTGCCTCTCTCCCGCACTCTCCATGAAGAAGCTATTATATTAGCAGGGCGCAATTAATCCATTTGTCTCTTTACATGACAGGCTCAAAATATTCATTAGGGCTGGACTGCGCTGACAGGCCATGCTTATCTTTTACCAGTAGCTTTACAATGGCCTGTGTCAAACGTATGTTTGTCACGTCCCTCTTTATTGATTAGCTGCCAGATTCACTTGAAATAATTAAAAGTATATTTTACATATTTATAAACCCCACTGCCACAGCGGCTACTTAATTTTCCATTAGTAAAATGCAGTCTATTAAGTGCACCATGAGGTCCGCAGGGGGAGGTAAGGGGGAAATGAGTAATCACTATAATTGTAGACAGAAAGACAATAACCGCGCCATAAAAGCTGGGGTTTTATGACTTGATCTGGCAATGCTATCTCTTATCACAAGTCCTATTGGCTGCACCACTCACAGATAAGGGCGCACTGACACCACGGCGGCTGGGCTCGCGCTCTCTCCGTGCACGTGTGCGGTTGACATTTCCAGAACCCCCCCCCTACCGACCCGCCACCCAGCAGATACGGCCTGAACAAGTCCCAATAGACTGGCTGGGGGAAAATAGAGACTTGAGAGCGGCAGTACATAGCCTGCATACTTTGCTCCGCTGAATGCTTTATAGATACCGAGGGCTGCAAAAATTAGTTTTGGCTCGTGAAGAGAAGCAGGAATTCTGTGACCTCTGAATAGATTTTCTGCGTTTAATGTGAAAAATGAGCCATAAAGCAAACATAAAAGTAATAATTTTTCTTCAAGGTCTCACCTCCAATCTGTGCTAAGGGAGAGTGGGCCAGTCCCCAGGAGAGCTGACACATACACACTCCGGTGTCATCGCTGTATAGCTTCAGAGGGTAATGCTCTGCTGCCTCTCGGACACTGTAGTGCAGCTCGTGGGTTTGTAGAGGACGACGATGAGAACACGCGAGCAGTACGGGTGTTAATTAGAAAGCAGGTGATGCAATTAAGTGTTTATTGTGCATTACTGCTTCTTGTGGCAATAGAAGTCAGTGATTCACATCTGTGGATGAGGACTGTTTGTAAAAGGCTGGATTTACTGCTCTTTGGGCCCTTGTGTTTTTTGTTTTTTTAATGCCAAAGGTCTCTAGGGCTGAACAACCAAGGCGCAGTGCCAAAAACTTCATTTCCTGATGGATCATTTGAAACTGGCCCATAGACTCCCAATAGCTTGCACTAATAAGTATAATTACATCCCAATACAAAAAATGGTTTAAAAATGGGGGATTATTTTAAAATAATTGACACATTTGGATTTTGTTAAAGCTTTCATGCATGCAGCTTCCTGACCAGGCCTGGTATCATTAGCTGCCTGTGGTGGTCCCCGGTCTGTATCCAGGGTTTTTCTCCACAACACATGACAGCTGACAACTCCACTCGTTCACATGTGGTCAGTTCTGACTTGTAAAAACACACACACACACGCACACACACACACACACACACACACACACACGCACACACACACAAGAACAACAACAACATAGTGGTGGCCAAATGCTGTCACTGAAGCTTTAGCTTTAGAGCTGGAACAACGTAGGATTTTTAAGATTATTTTAATTCTATTGATTCTTCCATCAACTGAGTAATGTTGAGTTTTGCTTTATTAATGTGCCATAATAAATGTTCAAAAGAGAAAAATTGCAGGTCTTTTAAAATTAACTGCTCATTGATTTCCTTTCTAGACATTGCAATGTCTTAAACCGCATACAGCATTGTGCATGCCATTTTGAAATAAAAATAAAAATGTTCAAAAATAAGTATAGAATCTTAATTACATTAGTTTCAAATACAATAAAGTAGGCAATCTCAACTAAGACACAAAAACATTACCTTTACTCTGTCTTCTTGGAAGGCTTTAGACGTTAACGGGAGCCAAAAATAGTTCTGATAGTATTTTACTGTGTGCTAGTGAACGAGTGTGTTTTTGTAAGCCTTTAAAGGACCATGTGGTGGTTACACACTGAATAACATTCTGATGATGTAAATTTTAATTAAGGTTATAATAATAATGAAATGAATGAGTCCAACCTTTATTTTATTTTTTTAATATTATTAGATATTAGCTAAAATCAAATTTTGTATCATTTCACATTAAATGGGGAACATAATTTCTGGCTCCATGTTAAATTATGACAACATCGTCATCATTGCTGCTGTTGTGCTCTCAGTCTTTTTGTGTAAACACCGAGGCCTGCCCGGGAACTTTTTACTCACAGGCGTGCTTCCAGGCGTCTGCTTTAAGAGTAAATGTGGGTGAAACGTACGCGTTTACATGGCGACGACAAAGTTTAAACGAAGAATCGAAGCAAAAAAATTTGTGTCGTGCATTTTTCAGAATCAAGTTGAATGTGAAATTTGTTTTTTTACACTCCGCCTGACTATGTGGTATTCCAAACATGTGTTGCCAAGAAGGAAATCGTGTGCCCTCTGGTGGACAAACGATGTAACGTCGACATTCATATCATGGTTGAAGGTTTCTCCCATATACTCTTTACTGTTTTCATTGTTAGTTTTCAGGCATTACAAATGTCCCAAGATATGAACAAACAGCTCACATTAGCCTGCTGATAATTCAGTCAGTGCAGTCTAGAAGCTAACTACGTACATGCATGCTATCTTTTGG